CGGACGTCCAGGAGGCCCAGGCGGACAGGCTGATTCTGCCATACAGCCTGAATCACTCGTTTACATACAAAACGTAAAAGAATTAAGCATGGAAATTAGAGTGATTTTCACAGCACTTACTACAAAAGGAAGGCAAATTAAAATCTCTTTTCTCTCGTTTGATCAAGTTTTCGAAAGTGGGCTTTCCAAATTGCGGCATTTCCATTTTGAGCACTTCCGTCCAAGCATCATCGGTGAGAATCTCAAAGAGATTATTTCATGTCGCTTGTTGTTGTGATTACTGTTTGAGAAAAAATTAGGTTTTGTTTGGATTGTATCTCTCGAAATAAAGAATGTTTTGCGTTAGGGAGGTTTTCATGGAAAAAGATAGACAAAGAGCGTATTATGAACAAGTAAGAGCAAATTGATAGCATTTTCAAAAAAGCAAGCTTTGGAAAAATGACTCAAGAAAATCCTAAAGGTTCACATTTGAAGTAAACTTGAAATAGATCTTTCCTGTCAAGTTACACTCCTCATCCTTACTCTCAATGAAAAATACAAGAGTTACGAGAAGATTTAATACATGAAATGTTGGAAGACGATCCAGTATTCTGCAGAAACTCGCTTTGTTCGATACAATGGGACACATCTCATGCATTGAAAGCACCGTACTAATGAAAATCCCTTTTTCTTACCACAACAATGATATATAGATCTCTGGTTTAGCGTACTAGTCAAAACTTTTTCGTAATAAACTAGTTTGAAAATATACAGGCAAAAGCACTATCGATTCAGAAGTTTAAAGATAGGAAACACTGCACAACTTTTTTCAACTCTCTTTGATCAGAAGCAATTCAAACCTTTCAAAAGAAAAAGTAAGTTCCAGAGGAATTACGATCTCTTCACCAACTTCATTTCGTTGATTCAAATATCGCAAAAAACGTTGAAAGAGGAGCGAACATGGAAGGAGAACCTGCTGGATCAGTTTTTTTCCCGTTGCTGCAATTTCTCTCTCTCCATGCAACAGCGAATTTGTTCGAAATGATTGTTAAGGAATTCCAATTGAATGGTGTTTGAAAATAGAATGTGAGTGCAAT